TGCCCCAACCTAATATGCATGATCTTCGATCTTTAACTGCACGATATCGGTTCCGAGGATTCTATCTCGGGGGCGAATTGTGGAGACTTTACCCTCCATGAGGATCAATCTAGCTAGGTAGCAACAGTCTCGATCACTACCAGCGTCATATAGCTAAATACCTCACACTATTCAGCTTCTAAGATCAATAAGATCAACCTTCCGCTCAGCTCTTCGGATTATCAATCACAGAGACGACGTAGTGTCCTGTGTAGGAAAACCCGGTGGATCTCCAATCCGCAGTGGCGGTTTTGTTTCTTATTCTCTGACTATAAAGAATATAGCTAGATTGGTCAGGAATCATCGATTACTATTTGGATTGGAATGACTCAACTAAAAGATGGACCATTGGTTGGTTACATACTCTAGTCCGATCCGGTGTGCAAGAGAACAGTTTCACGTTACACGAAACCATGTAAATCAGGATCAGCAGACTTTAAGACCGTGATCGACATCAATACAGGCGGTCTTTATGTGGCTATCGACAACACAATTTGGAAGATGGCAAAGCGAACTTTTAACGAAATCTCAGCTCAAAGCTATTTTGTGGGTTGCAAAGCTTAAAGGGCTGTCGCCACGCTGAGATACTGAACACATGTTCGCATCCCTCCGGCTCCATATACTGATGAAAGAATAGGAATTTAGATACGTGTATCTACTATAAAGATCATCTTTGGAAGTTGAAAATGGGTTAGGGTAAATTCAGGGTCAAATAGAGACGATTCGATGAGAAGGGGCATCTGGTTCGGGAGAGACAGACTAGAGGGAAGCCATAGTTAGAAACGTCAAATAGAGGAGAATGTTATCTGTATTGGTGATAGGTACAAAGGGCGGACCGATAAGGATGAAGGAGAGGAAAGGCGAGTTGATAGGTGAAGAAACTGATAGGGCAATAGGAATGCCCTTTGGATCCCCCAAGAGCCCGAAGACCTGGGTGAAAGGAGCCCCCCTTAATCTCCTCCTGTTTGTTAGCTAGAACATACCACATGCAACGGAGAGGGGGGGATCGGAGGCGCCTAGTAGTGTGGGCATTACGGATAGACGGCGTTCAATACTGGATGATGTAGTGGTTAAACCCTAGTTAGGCGGATTATTTCTATTATTATCGACGTTACTGATGAGTTCGAGCTTCCGGCCTAGGTCGGCACTTACGACGTTATACCTAGACTACCAAGCAGTACAGTCTATAACTTGTCATAGCCTACGGGCTGGATACACAAATGAATATCAATCAATAAACAATCAAGGTCCATAATAGATTCCTAGGCCTGGTGAAGGGCTACATCATGTACTTATGGTAATCCACTAGGCATATAGTTTCAATGATTGGAGGATAGCCTCAAATATAAAAGAATTAAGAGGCAGTGTGGTCCACGAGGGCGCTTGAGGCGAGGTTTGGGGATGTCCTTGAGGTACCTCGTCCTCGTCATAGCCAAGAACTGTCCTTGGAAGTCCTCGAGGCAAGGACAGATATTGTCCTCGAGGTTCCTTGTCCTTTTGGATCGCTATCCTTGTGTGTCATCGAGGACATGTCCTCGAGGCAAGGACACAAGGACACAAGGACACAAGGACGCTCGTCCTCGTCATGGACCATACTATTAAGAGGGTATTTTATCTTTCTGGGCCCGCGTCTGAGACCCTAGTTAGATTTTTCCTTATAGCATTATACTAGAGTTTCTCCTCTACGAATGTAACTGCCATTGCTCTTTCATATGGCTATGCGGGATCTTAATCCCAACCAATATTTAAACGTAGTTTCTGGGTGTTTGGGTTATATAGAATTAAGCTACGCTTGTAGGACATCACACATAATCAGGGCGTAGCAGCAGTGTGGAACTATGGTACAGGCCAGCTAGAGGTTTTCTGTCTACAATATACATATATATCTTGTGGTGGCATGGTATAATGAGTAAAGAATAGCCCAATATATAGATAGATTTACTTGATGAGTTATCAATTCTTTCTATAGTACTTCCTCTAAAGTTCCAATCAAAATACAAAGGGGTGATCTCAAAATATTACAGCGAGTGATCTTTCATGCTTGGATAATAGCCAAAATAACTCTAGGGTTCATAGCCCTAACCCATAGTCAACTTTGATTTACACTTTCATTCAGTGAGCTAGAATCAGCCGGGTTACTTAGAAGCCACACATCATTCATCAGGGATTGACTAGCCGCCGATCTGCAATAATGGGAATCCTAGCCATCGGCCATGCAAAAAGGAATAGCCGCCAGCAAATCACTCAGTGGTCACGCCGATCAATTTGTGGAAACAGATCACGGAAGAGTTCCTTCTTTAGCAGTAAGGCTTCCGGGTGGGGCACTTAGAGGCGTGGGTGCGCTGTCTGCACCGCTCTAGTAGTATTTGTGCTTTTTGCCAGCGTATACCTTTGTGCGAGCGTCTATTTACGTTGTAATGGTCTGCCTTCTTTTCTCCAGCTAATGAGAACCCTTCGACAGCCGATAACCATGAGCCTTCTAGGTAACGAGCGTTATACCTGGGAAAAGCTGTCTCATAGCCTTGTCTCGGGAATAGAAATAATCGAGCCCACGAGGCCGGCCGGGCTAGTGACAGTCACGGGGTCAAAGATGAGACAAAACTTGGAGTAGTGGCCCAAACCACTGATGTCGAAAAAGTAAAGATGACAAGCGAAAAGGGACCTAGCTAGTGATGCTACATGGCTCGAGATACCAGCCGCTGCGTTCAAATTGTGGCTACGTTATAACTTATGATAGACGGACTAAAGCCTATGTATGCTTAACAGGCCAAAACGAACAGCACCTCATGGTAATAGTCTTTCTAAAGATTGACAACAAAGTTACCACATTCTAGAACTACCAACATTTTCTGAACGCCTCCACTCATCGTCACCAATAACACCCCGCTTGAATCCTCTGGAGAGAGACTTGAGATCCCCCTGCTGCTAATATTACTTGCGCTGGTAATTCTAACCAGGGTATCTAGGTCTCAAAATCCGGTCAGGCAGTTTACTCAAAATAAAAGACACGCCCTCGATGCTGTTCTGTATGCTATGGTCCCAGGTCTATATCTTGAAACATTTCGAAACAATGTCGAGTGAGTGTTTGTGCGCCAAGCCACACACAAACAAGCCTCTATAAATGCTTAGGCCTATTAGAGGCTGGAACCCATCAGTACTACACAGAATTATTGCAATAAAAGTCTAAAAGAGTACTGAAAGGGGACCCATGATCGGTAAGGCAATAGCGAGCTTATAACTCAATATTTATAGATGATGTTTGATCTTATTGGTATACTAGAACCTAAGCAATTCCTTATCCGTCGAAGTGGGTTCTGGCGGACTTTGGCCTACCGGAAAGTCACTTCATGATGAAGTTTATTAACTAGATCTTTGGCTCAAGAAGTGACATATAAATTGTAAGATCTCGATAATTGTAGGTGCAGTAGAGATGGCTTAGTGCAATGAATGAGGGGGTAATTAAGGAAGCGTCCCAGATTCGACTCTGCATCAGACACTCAAAATGGTTAAGCATTCATAACCCTCACAAGCATCACTGTTTAGTGCCGATTAACTGCATGGGCAGTGGATTCATCAATACGATCTTACAGGCTGAGCCTTGGTCCGAGATAGCCCCATAATCTCTAGGTACATATATCAGTCCGGCCATGAAGTTTGTTGGACGATCTGACTATCTTCCCGGACCGAAAAGTAAATCAACTGAAACGCGTGTCTAGCCACGAAGATCTGAACGGAATATCTACTAGTTAATCTGCTTCAACGGCCAAACCGACACACCGTTGGAGCGCTTGCTTGTTTACTACACGCAGGCTTAATTAAGGACTTATTCTCGGCCCTCGAAGCCGACACCACTCCTAGCCTGAGATATCGGGGCAGCTCGCGCGTAGGATACATTACTGCTATTCTCCACGGAAACTCTTAAAGATTACAATTAACAAGTATAGTCAAAACAACTCGAATCTATGCAAAACATTAATTGTTAAAATAGAAGTTGCTGAGCAGGTGGTGGGATTCTGGATCCAAACCACAGATAAACTTATTTGACTCGTCAAATAACCATGTTCTTTTCTCCAATCAAATGATTAATGATGGAATTTGAGATTAAGAATATATTGGGGAGTTGTTTCCGGTAAGGGCACGGAAAATTATATACTGTCCCAAATATGTCCTTAGCTGAGCGGTTTGTGGCCAAGCTTTTCAAAACCTAGCAAAGCTGCTAAAGAGGCAGGTAATCTACTTTGATCACTGGACTGTAAGTGGACGCTACCTAAAGGGCTCACGAGTATATGATTTTATTGCCCTGTGTTATCACTTAGTTGTTTGAACTACTTACTAATAGGCCAGCGCCGTTTATGGTCTGGAAAGGCCGATTACCAATGGTCAGTGGATATTTTTCACACGGGGCTGATACATACATGTATCTAAGGCCTGAGTAGACCTCACAAGATCATCTTTCCTTAGTCACCAAAGTTGTTTTTCCATCGCCGCAGCTTCAAGCTCGAACATTCTCTAGTGCTATTGGTCTATCTTAAGCCTGCTCGTATCTATTTTCTATTTAAATCTCACCGTGGGTATTATAACTGCACCCCAACCCGGATAATCTCTTGAGATGATGGGGTCACGCCCCATCACTTATCAAGGAGAGCGTGATAGCTCAAAGGACGGATTTTCACGCCTCAAGGACACTCTACTTTACCCCACAGACGGACACTGGAGACAATTTTTGTTGTTAGTTCGACTGAACAAGTGTGCGTTGTCCTGAGTTGTTTGAACACTTCGCGACCTACTTCTTCAACCTGGCCAGTTAATCCGGCTCGTTCGTTGGCTCTCTTCAATAAAGATTACCCATAATAGAAACAGCTACGCTATTGCCAACCTGATAGTGAGCATCCTCTCTACATCCCTGCATGTGCCTATTACACCTCTGCTGCTGTAAGAGGTGCAAGGTGATATTCCTTGTGATGTGGCATAACGTTAATCTACCTGGAGAAGATACCAGCCACAACGAACATCTTTTACCGCTTTCAAACTCATCCAATTATGGCGACTATAGGCATCTGTTACGAAACGTAGATGTGGGGAGTTTAGGATACCCCTTAAAGTTCCCAGAGTCAGATGCTGTCTGCGGAGACTTCCGGCCGCGCAGTGGGATATCACTGGATCTGTCCACGGCGAGGATCCACCCTAAGTGTTCATATGCACTCCACAGGAGCACAGGTATTTTTTCATGGCGACATCCCTGAGTGACGCGACGCCAATCTACCGCAGTGATCAGGAATAGGTATGTGAGTTCATCCACCTCAAAGTTCCAATAACATTCAGAATTATTGATACGAGGCTCTCGTACCACCATGGGGATCTAGACAAGGCCTTGTCGGCAACAGGAGCCCCCCAAAGTCGCCGGTACTACAAAAGATTCCTGCGATGTCAATAAACTACCGAGCAAAATATATCTTTGCAGGTTCATGACAATCACCGGGACCTTCCTGATGTGCAACTAGCCCTCGGAATATTTAGATACGACAGATGTTGAGCATAATACATGTATGATCCAGGTAAGTTAGAGAGTAGCTACGGATGTTACAAATTCACATGTTGGTCCTTACTCTTCATCTGGCGATCAGTACAATGGCACTGTTATCGACAAGGCTAGGTTTCAGTCGGAACAATAAAACGCCGACCCACCGCGGCCTCTTGCTGAACCAACTCATAGAAGCACTTATGACTTGTATCAATACGGCCAAGTTAGTAGTTATACGCGTTCAATCTAGATCTTGGGAGAGAGCCACACCCGTTGGTCACCGACCCCCGTGGGGAGAAGTGAGGAGAATACAGGACAGCAGACACCACCCACACTTGCACCACTGAAGTTGGCCGATCCCATCCAGCAGTTTTGCTTTGTCCTTCTGCCGGATCCGGGGTGCTGGTTTTCCAGATAAGGATGGCTGCAGTATAATCATTCGTAATGGTTAATCTCCTATTTATCACCCGCAGCCGCGGAAAAGGGAACTGAACGGGGAACCTCACAGGCTTCTGGATCATGAAACCAGTCGATTGACTCAGGAGTTTTCCTACTACGGTCCCGACAGCCCTGCGATATACAGTACTCTACCTCTCTCGACTTTTTCGTAGAGAGTAGGTAACGTTATATGCAGTCGAGTTAGAGCTCCTGAAATTTTTCTTTCTGCAGGATCCAATCCCAAGGGATGGGTAGGGATTTGGAAAGATGCACCGTAAGCTGTTATTTTTGCTTTTTTGGTATATTTTTATTTTGTTTTTCGGGCATCGTACTCTGGGTTGGAGAGGTTGGGCCGGGTTGGTTGTCTCAGAGGCCGTACTGGAATTTGGAATTCCCATGGCTGGGGGTCGGGGAGAGGGAGGGAGGGGGGAAGGCTATGATATTGCGATGGTCCAGCAATTTGACCTAGGGGACCGACATTATTCAGTTTAAATGTAGAGGTCAATAACGGTCCTGACCTACCCTTTTTTCCTCTTTCTTTCTTTCTTTCTTTTTTACTACCGTATAAGGTACATACCATCTGCCTCGCTCGCTACGAGAACCATTTATTATATTCACAGGACGGTTCAGTTAGCAATCGACCTGACCTTTTCTATATTATTTCTTTTTCCCTCTCTTTCCGTTTCCTGTGCCCTGGATTTCGTATGATATGTATCTACATGTACTCTAGAACAGTTCATGCAGTCAGCTTATCACGAAAGCTTATATCTGCGCAGGAGAGAGAGAGAGAGAGAGAAGCATCAGCAGCTGTAGCTTCTACTGGCCAGAGACGGGAAGCCCCGTTTGCCACCAACCATTTTTAATGTGTCAGGAAATGATTGTGCATGCCAAACACAGCCCATCACTCGCAGCATCGCCCAAAGGAAAATGGCTTGGCCGCCCCCACCTTGGCGCTCGTCATCCCGTAACCGTGCGCCGCCCCCTAGCAAGGCTTGACTGCTTGCTGCTCTCTGCTCAGCCAGCTACTGCACATACCGTAGCTGCCAGTACAGCAGAAGCAACGTTAACGAACGAACGAACGAGACAGAGAAGGCGCACTCACCGCGATTCGAACCGCACCACCACCGCCCCTCCGCACCACCCTAGCTAGAACCAGCGATCCAATCATTGATATCACCGACCACCATGGCGACAGGCACCCTCCTCTCGTACCTCCCCTTCTCGCCGCACATCCGCCCCCTCCACGCGGCAACATACCTCCTCGGCGTCTCCCTCTTCTCAATCTCCTTCCTGGTCTTCCTCAACTCGTCCGTTTCCTTCGTGCTGACAGACCTCCTCCACATCGCCCCGCCAATCGGTAACATTGTCGGCACCCTCGGCTTCGTGGACGAGCTCGTGGCCATCGTGGCCGCCCCCGTGTGGGGCGCGCTGTCGGATGGACCGCTCGGCACGCGTGGCGTCGCCGTGACGGGCTTCACAGTCATTGCGGCGTCGTTGGTGGTCTTTGTCAATGTGCCAAACGTGTATCCGGGGCTTCTCCTCGCGCGGATGTTCTTCTCGATCGGTGCCGCGGCAGTAGCCACAATGGTGTCTGCAATCCTCCCGGAAATGACAGCGTCCCCACTACCAACGCCGTCGCCGCCGGCCACCCTCCCGCGCGGCCGTATTGCAACCCCGCCGCCGTCGGAGCTGCCGACGCCGGTGCCGGATATTGAGGCTTCTGCGGCGACGGCACGGCGACACCCGACGGGGAAGCTGGCGGGGCTAGTAGGGCTGTTTACGGGGCTTGGGGCGCTGCTGGCGCTCGGTGCTTTTCTACCGCTGCCGACGCATTTTGAGGGTGGAAGTGGGGGCAGAGAAGAGGCGGTGAGGAGGGCGTTTTATAGCGTTGCGTTGGTAGCTTTGGCGGTTGGGGTGTGGTGCTTGTTGGGGCTGCCGGCGCCGGTGCAAATGGTACAAGAGGAGGAGCAGGTGTCGCTTGGATTCCGGGCGAAGCGGTGGTTGTGGACGAAGATTTGGGGGGGCGATCCGGCGGTGCTGGAGCCGCCGGTGTCCCCGGGATCGTGTTCGAGCCGGAAGAGCGGTGGTCGAGGGAGTGCCCGTGGTGGTGGCAGCGGCGGCGGAGGAGGGCTGGTGTCGCTGAAAGCTGCGGTAAGGGCCGGGCTGTACGATAGCCGCATTGCACTCTCGTATCTGGGCGGCTTCGTGGCGCGCTCCACAAGCGTCGGAATATCACTGTTCATCCCGCTGTTTGTCAATCACTACTTCATCGTCAGCGGCAAGTGCCCTTCCGACGCACAGGACGACCCGAAGCACGGCTGCCGCAAGGCGTATCTGCTCGCTGCGGCGCTGACGGGCATATCGCAGCTGAGCGCGCTGCTGTGCGCGCCACTCTTTGGCTACTGGAGCGACCATCCGCCGTTTGGTGCTCACCGGAACACGCCGCTTGTACTGAGCGGGGCGCTCGGCGTGGTGGGGTTTGGAGGGTTCGCTATGGCGCGGGTTGCGGAGATGTCGTTGGGGGTGGTGGCGTGTGTGGTGTTGATGGGCGTGGCCCAGATTGGCGGCATTGTGGGCTCGCTGGGCGTTATGGGGCGGGGCATCGTCGAGGAGGAGGAGATCGAGGAGATGGCCGAGGAGGAGTATGTCTATGATGAGGATGCGCGAGAGATTGGCGAGGAGGAGCCGCTGCTGGGGGGAAGGGATAGCGGCGGTAGTGGTGGTGCCAGTGGTGTGGGGGGCGGGATTGCGGTGACGGGGAGGAGGAGGAGGGACGTCAAGGGCGGCATTGCGGGCGTGTACAGTCTGTGTGGCGGGGCGGGCATCCTGGCTCTGACAAAGCTGGGCGGGTGGGGCTTTGATGCTGTCAGCGTCGGGTGGCCGTTCTGGATGCTGGCGGCGTTTGAGGGAATGCTGGTTGTGGGCGCGGTGGCCGAGGGCGTGTGGGGGCGGAAATGATGGGTTTGCATGTAGCGATTGGAAGTATTTGTAGTTCTTTTTCTTTCTGTTCGTTGCAATTGTCTTTCTTTGTTTGGTGTCTTGTTGGCTATCTGCAGACATTCTGCGCCTTGGATTGATATCAAGAGAGTCGCACACAAATAATCTCATCTGATATCGACATTTAGCAAGTAGATCTACTCTATGCTTGGCTTAGATGCGGTTCGGGCATTACCTAGCTTTACCAATCACTGTCCACGACAGTTATGCACGAGCTCTCCCTGCTCTCATGCATTTATCACGGTTATCCACCCAACCACTGTTCCCTTTATCACGTCCCGGCCTTCATCCATCAGGTGTGGTCTCGGATATCAAGAGGTATGATACCTTCCTCAGCTGGCGATCCAGTTTCCCTCTTTTCAATGGCCGCTACTTCAGAGCGTCAACTCTGATGCTAGTTAATGTTAGTTGTGGTGAAATCCTTGTTGCTATTAGTCGTAATCATCACTCGGGCCATGATGCATCATGAGTGGTCACTCGGTTGGTCTTGGCATTTGAGGGTTTAGAATATAGACGTTGCATGCCCGACAAAGACGTGGACACCAGAAATGTCCAGAACACCACCGGCTATTGACACCATATGGCATAGTATTTTTAATGGACAATGTGATTATCGCCCAACGTACTGGAGGCTGCTACCAGTGATGTCGAATCACCTAGGCTTGGGGAGCCTGATCTAACTTACTCCCGTCCCTCGAACTGCACCGACCCTCACAGCTTTTTTAGGCTTGGTAATCATCCCAAGCAGGAAATCAGAACTCCTGGGAGAGGACTAGTCCAGGTTACAGCGCTTCAAGGTACGACGAAAGCGGCGACGGCAACACCTAGTATGGCGTTAGCAACGAATATGATGTAGTGATACTGCTGCCCATAATGGCTAAATAGCCGTGCCCGGAAAACAAAGGAAGGGTTGACTGCGGATATTTCATTCAGCAGATTAAGCCTTCCGTGATGAGGGGCATGGTCGAAGTGAATCATACCGAATCCAAGATAAACAACCGTCAGCCTAGGAGGATGACAGGGGCGGATTTTCGATTTACATGGGACTTTTGACAAGAAGTCACGAAAATTTGGGGGCTTAAAGGACATGTAGAGTGGAGTTTACAAAGAGGATACGAGCACACCTAGAACTCTTCTGAACGTGGCATCTTGTTTGTAAGACTAGAGAGGGCAGACTTCCCCGCTGGGCCACCAGCGATACTGGATAGGCTCCCGTCTTACCAAGAGTAGCCTAGTGCCGCCACGTGCACGACAGCCTGAGATCCGACAGGACAATTGGGTTTGTTCTTGTTTAACAAGTGCTACTTGTGGCCCGGACAACCAAAATACCTAAACAACTCTGAAGATATGGACTCCAATCAGGACATATGGTCAAGCCGGTCTGCTGGGAACTTGCATTGAAATGATGGAAAGGAATTCTTGAGGCAGACAGTTGCAATACCTTCGTTTCTGGCTGATTCAACATTGAGATTTTCCATTTATTCAGAACAGCGCGATGTAAACTATAGTACTATGAAATAAAGGCTAGTACGGGGGAATTAGTAGCCTGATATCAGACCGGAAGCTCTTTCAAAAACTATTTTCCGGCAGAAATCGCATCAAGAGTCAACTAAGGTCGATACGGAAGTTACTGTCTATCATTTATAATAATTGAGCCAAAGCAACTCAATCGGCCGGCTGGCCGATGAAAACAGCAACATATCACATTACTCAACAGAAAAGGGATAAACAAAACTCTCCAACCAGCCCAAAGAAACGATGGATGAAGAAACCAACCCCGCTTACGCCGGCGCAAAACTAAGAACCCAACTCCCTCTCGTCCGTCAATTTGTAAAACCTCCCCGAACACGCTCCCTGCACCCTGCCCCTCGCTAACCTTGCATTCACTATCCTCTAAGTATACGCCCATCTCAATCCTTCCCTCCGAAGGTCAATCAGATATTAATATATTCCTCTTCCTCCGGCAGCCAGCGGCGGGAGCTCTCACTAGCACTACTGATCCCTGGAGATAAATTGATGGAGTCGTCACATGCACGGTTTGTACTAGCTGGGTGTAGAAAATGAATTAGTGGCGGATGTGTTACTGTGGTCCCTCACTTTGGAGGATTTCAAATGATCGAGTTCTACACGGATGAGCTTCTATTCCCTGCTAAACTGGCGCTTAGCGCCTGCGAATGCAACTACCTGCATCCGCACTAGGAAGAAAAAATACACCGAGCCTAGCGACATAGCCGCAAGAAAGCTCTAGTACTTTAAACTTTTCTTCCTTCTAAAAAGAGTCGGATAGGCGGCAGGCCCGCTCTAGCGATCAGGGCTTCAAATGTGGTTTCTAGCGAATTGAACCGGGGAGGTGGTACCGTTACATGTATTTTAAGCGCGAAACGTCTCGCGTTACATACATACATAACCACTAGCTACTAGCAGCTATCAATTTTAATATTGTGGAAAATACCCCTAGCACATGCGGATTGGGGCTATAGAGATACATGTAGGTGCACATGTAGTATGTTGTTGCAATTGCGCGGCCATGGCTTCTGGGTCTGGTTTTGTGGGTGAGGCGCAGATGTCTCTTGATACATTCCCTATATATTGCTTAAATACGGGAGTAACTTCAGAGCCGACTAGCCGACTACATGTAGCTATAGCTGCGTATCAGTCACCTCCACTACGATAACTGGCCTTATAGAGCATGGATTTGCGGGTGGCTGTAAGCGCTCTTTTCATTTCTAACTTTCATGCTGAGCGCTCAGCAGGTTCACAGACCGGACTAGACTAGGGGAGCCGGTCATAATCGGACCCCTTTTACAGCCCGGTATCTGTACGACGTTTAACCAGGCGTCAAGGCATCGTAGGCAGCAATCCCCCATGATCATATGATTCAAGATCGCATTTTCTGACACCCAGAGCTGGGCTGAGAGAGAATATGCCTTGCTGGGTAATAGTGAGTGGGGCCGACTTGATCTTTTTATAGACCCTTTGAAAAGTCATGGGAGCTATGAGAGCATAGACATTCACTTATTAAATATATTGGTGGTGTCATGACTTAGAATCCTGGCTTAGATATGAGTAGTTTTGATGTCATAGCCTTTATGAAATTAACCACTCAGTGCTAGGGTGGAGTTATATCTCAAATCTTAACTAGGACCCATTTATGGTCTTATTCCTGGTGAGCCTAACCCGCTAGAGTTCAAACTCTGCCTTATGCCGAATAGACCCATGACCACAACTTGCATTAACTTAGTCCTCGAAGCTTCTAGCTCTGGTTTCGACAGCAATCTTCTAGAAGAATATCTAACCTCTACGATAGCTCAGATGACAGTGCCCAGTCTCTAGAGCTGTCGTAATCCGCAAGTAACCAACCAGAAAACGAATGGCTGTCTGGTTGCCTCTTGCTGCAAAGCGAGAGGTTACGGGTTCGAATCCCGTGTCCCCTACCCCCGGTATACCCATCTTGCCGGTCGGGCTGGATTTTGGAAGTTTTCCCCAGTCACTTACTCAAATGAGGGCGGCGGTAGTCCCTTGAACGTCGCCATAACCTTAGAGTTGCATGCGAGTATGAGAGTTTATTATTATTATTATCAACCAAAAAACGAGACGCGTGAATCAGATCATGGAATATCACTCGCACATAAACGCGCCAGGTGCGACTTCATGAACCTGTGAACAAGAAGAAAAAAAGGAAATCGTACTTTTATTCAGGCTTATCTTATCGTCAGTTCATCCCTTAGAGTATCTCTTGATCGAAAGTGTCGTTTCCGCCGCTACTCGTGATCGGGTTAGTTTATACACCAATGAGCTGTGTAGTTCGTAATTACCGTAAGAATTTTGAGCTGTGGGAGCGCGGATCTCTTTCACGGGTGTGGGTATTACCTTCTGTATTGGATATGGGGTGCATCTGGTGGTGCTGTGTGTATTTGATTTTTTCCTGATACCGCTATCCTGGTTTAGTAGCGGAAAACCTCTTGGTAAGGTGAGGTGTATGAAGCAGTCCGCCCATATTGGGGGTATCTCTACTCTGTAATGTTGGCATCGGCGCCGTATGCTGACCGCTCCCATAATAGTACAAAGGAGAATATTGCAAATACGTACCTCCTCCGCTTCGAAGTCTTCGGCACCGGGGAGTTCCTCAATAGCCATCAACCCTCCAGCTAGCATAACTCGACCTCACTGTCGGCCGGCCACTGGCCCCTCCGGCTCCGCAGCCAGAACCGACTACAGCGCCATAGCCTCTCAGTCCGTTATCGCCGCACATCGTATGCGGGCGACACGGTTGTGTACAGCTTTAATTGCGGGCGGTACCCGGGCTTGGGGGATCTTCTGGGCGCATTGGTTGCATCCTACCGGCGGGGAGCGGCGTGCCAGACGGGAGGAGGGCGGCGTCGGAGAAGGCGTTGTCGATACGCGAGGACGGGTGGCCGGAGTTAGGCCGGAGGGGTCGGGGGTGGGGGGTGGGGGTGGGGGGTGGGAACGAGTGGGGTTTCTGCGGGTTTGTGCTGCTCCCTTGTCAGTACATGTATACTAGCAGTGGCCACTTCGCGACCGCGAAGGAGGGTTCTAGAAACATGCCAGTGGGCGGGTTACTGCTGCAACTTCAAGTTGGGCGGGTTACTGTTGCTCCAATGATGAATAAATAGAGCCAGAAAATTTCTCTTATCCACTTCATTCATCGTCATCAACAAACAATTCATCATCCACAAACAATGTCTACTACTACTACCCCCATCATGTCTGCAAAGAGCAATAAAACCGCCAAACTTCCTGCCAAGCCTCATGCCAAGCGCACTCCGGCTGCCAAGCCTCCAGCCAAGCGCACACGGGCTACCAAGGCTTCCAAAACCGCCGAGAGTTCTAAAACCGCAGAACTTTCTGCCAAGTCTTCCGAAACCGTCAAGCCTACCGAAATCGCCGAGCTGGTTCCCAAGCCTTCTGATTCTGGCACCCCTGCTGCCACCGTCAAGCCTACCGCTAAGCATCCCGCCAAGCGCACCCGAGCTGCCAAGGCTTCTAAGAGCGCCGAGAGTTTTCAAACCGCCGAGCTTCCTGCCGAGCCAGCTGCCAAGCAAGTCGATACCGCGGAGCCAGCTGCTGAGCCTTCTGCTTCCGGTACCCCTGCTGCCAAGCAAGCCGATACCGCGGAGCCAGCTGCCGAGCCTTCTGCTTCCGGTACCCCTGCTGCCAAGCAAGCCGATACCGCTGAGCCAGCTGCCGAGCCTTCTGCTTCTGGTACTCCTGCTGCCAAGCCTTCCGATACCACCGAGCCGATTACCAAGCCTTCCGATTCAGGCACCCCTGCTGCCAAGATTTCCGAATCCGGAAGGCTTGGTACCAAGCCTTCCGAAACCCGCCCCATTCAGTATCATGAGTCAGCTGCTGAGGCATTAGTAATGGGTGGTGTTACCAATACGGCTACTGCTAAGAAATTGGCTAGTATAGATTGGATTAGACCTGTTATGGTTAAGGAAGACAGGGGTCTTAATATGGCAAGGCCAGTTAATGTTGAGGCTATATTGGGATACAGTAGGGGTGAACTTGCAGAGGCAGTTTGTGACTGTTGTACTGACAGTAAGGGCCCTTTTATTGAATGTGTAACTGTGCAGGGTATGTTTGCAGGTAGTTGCACCAATTGCCACTACAATAGCCAAGGCAAATATTGCAATTTTCGTCCTGGTATGTAATCTACAATTCCTACAATGTCTTACAATGTGTTTACAGTGACTTACAAACATATACAACAGAAATTAAACCTCGCGAACGCTCTGCACCCATTGCAAGCTCTTCTACAGTTACTGCGGAGGGTGCAGACAGGTATAGGAGAGTTGCAAAGAGGAAGCGGTCCACTACCAAGGAAAAATGGCTGAGGCTTTTGATAGCGGTGGAGGGAGTGGCTGATGCAATTGAGGATATCATGGACGAAATGGAAGATTAAATGTAATCAGACTCTAAGTTAGTTAGAAACATTTCCAATAGCTTTAACAATAGAAAGTTTGTGTTTGCAACTCTCGCAACTATCTTACAGCTGATTACAATTGATATTTCTTTTCTGCAAGTTTATGCAAGGAGTTGTATGTGATTGTAAGCTTTGATTTGTTCCTGCAACAGTGTAATAAATACCGTAACTCACTGCAATTGAAAGATATAAGACAGTAAGGGGTATTCTATAATGTGCAACTATCATCCCCTCAACAGTACCTCCGGATACACTATGTTCTCAGTTTCCCTACCCCTCTCCTCTGTTTGCAAGATTTGTAACTTATTGACGTCTGTTGCCATTGACAAAGCAACATACAATTGTCCATGGGTAAAAGATGAAGTTCGTAAATCGATCCTCACAATGTCAAGTGATTGTCCCTGTACCTTATTTACTGTCATTGCAAAACACAATCTTACAGGAAATTGTTTTCGAGTTAAGATGAAAGGCAACTCCCCTTCGGTTGTAGAAAGTTTGATGCGAGGAATAACCTTCACTTGACCATCATTATCGCCTCCCAATATTTGCACCTCAATGCAGCGTCTTTCCATACGAATTACGGTCATTCTAGTCCCGTTGTAAAACCCTTGCTTTGGGTATAGATGGCGCAAAAGTATAACTGGTGCGCCAATCTTCAATCGCAAATGAGAAGGTGGTAATGCAGCTGGATTCAGGTTTTGCAAATACTCTGCAGGGAGTTCGTTTGATGCTTCTTCTGAATTGTTGAAGTCTGCGCTATCAATAGAATAATATGTCTTAGCTTCACCATTAAGTGTATTGAGAACAATATCATTGAAATCCGCAACTAAATCATTTCGCATTGCAAGTATTGCACGTCCCATAAATGCCGTATAATTGCTGTGAGCTGATGTGACTATTGCTGCAGGGAATACATGCTCGCAGAGATCTTCAACTGTTGTGCAAATAGATATGAATTCCGGCAAACGTATTCGACCGTTTCATGGTGGATTGTAAGATAATTGTAAGAGCCAATTGGCAAATTTTTTATTTGTTTTTCTTTCCATAACTCGCATATTTGTTTTCAACAAAAGTTGCTGAAAACGCTTGGCAGTAGACATTATTGTGAGGTATGGATGTTTTTGTTAAGATAATTGAATTGAAAGATGGTGGGGAATGAAATTTGTGGTCAAGAAGGTGTAGTTACCCATCCCTTGAAAACCGGGTTTTTCTTTCTTTGGTTACCCTACCTCCCCAACCTGTTCCCATCCCATAAAAATACTATTGTTACCGCACCTCTGCACCCCTGTCACCAACCCCTGTCCAATTCCGAAAACGGCTTAGCTTCTTATTTTTGAGAAACACTGTATTGTAGTACTATATAGATAACTGCTGCTCGCCGGCGGTTGGGGTGTGTGTTTGCGGGGATGTAGAGTGTGCACTGACGTGAGATCCGGCTGCGGCGGTGCGGGGTGCGTGTGCGGGGTGCGTGTGCGTGTGCGGGAGGAGGTCGGGTGATCGGGTTGGGGCCACTAGATTTGGAGCATGGATGAGATGGAGAACCGCGCTTGCTCAGGTGAGTTTAGGATATTTATTGCATAGAGAGTACGTATGATGCATTTACGCGAGTGATAGTCCATGATTCGGTCAAGCTGCTTGGCAGTTCGGCAACAGAATTATTCTCCATTAGATAAATACATAAATATACATGTATGCAAGCAGCCACATCACACATCACACAGTAGAGTACGTGACCAATAGCCTTCAACACGTCTGTCTCTCCACGGGATGACTCTTCACCCAGCCAACCACTGCAGAAACCCGAGTAAACCAGCCTACTACCCCTCGCACATCCATCCCCCTCCGACTACTTTATTAATTGACGGCTACTTGTAGTCTGCTGCCTCTCGACGAGGTGATGATGATTGAGGCCGGTCTTCGGGCAAGACCACTAGTCGTGCTCGAGAACCTACCGTTCCCCAACGCCGTCATAGCGGTAGATGGGTAGTTTGGGTTCACAATCTTCACATCCCATATCAGGATCAGCACTCTAACTCAGGATGGTGTGATAGAACGGATATACTGTACCCCCAAGGACAGGATAGAAGACCCATCGGTCACGCTGCTGCGAGCCTCGATCACCAATGTGCCGGTACCCCTCCTGTTTGAGTAAGTTTGCGAGACGAGAGTTATCTAAACAATCATTCCCATGCACGTTAACGTTAGCAACCGTCTCCTCTGAAAAACGATTCTCATAGAGAGTCTATCTAGTATCTCCGGCCACAACGCCATCGGGGAAGAAAGCTTACCACGTCCGGTGACGGTGCCACGACGTTAACCGTTGCACTATCCTTGCTATTCCCAGCCGCATTGCTGACCGTGAACTGGAATACCAAAATCGTCGCCGTACCCGGCGCAGTAAACGTACAGATCTTTCCATCCGTACTACAGCTAAGTGCCATCGCTGTCCCAGTACTGGCCTGCAGCCATTTATACGTGAGTGTATTCTCTGGGAGGTTCGAGGTGTCGGTGCGGCCACTGAGGGTTACTACTTGTCCGCCGGTGACAGACATGTCAGGACCAGCGTTAGCTACCGGGATTACCGGGGCTACATTATTGCAGACAGGAGCTGCATCGGCTCTAACACCTATATGTGGATTTCCGGTTAGTATATTTGTGGTATTACACAAATTCTGCACTAGCAAAGAGGTCAGGAACCGGGGAACATACCTGGCCATGGATCCAACCGCCCTACAATGGGACCGCTTGGGTCTTCCGCCGCTCCGGGGATACCGCCCAGCCATGGCCCCGCACCCTTCGCTAGCCATGGTAATTCATCAAAATCAAACACAACCTCTGGGTTCCCAAACAGCACCAACTCTGGGAATATAAACCCATCATCCATGATTGGCTGTACATACTGTCCAGCGGTTATATTGTTCCCATTGAGCATACTTGCCGACGGTACCCTTGCTAGGACCTCCCTGGAAGATGGCGTGATATCAGGCGTAGGGCGGTAGCGCCATTGCCCGCGACGGCCGTTTGGACGGGGGACGACGGATGAGAGAAGACGCTCCGTTGTGACGCCAGTGCATGGGTCAACATCGAGAGCGTAAACCTCGACGTTTTGTGTTTGGTCTGTTGTGTAGCCCTCAATCTACGCAATTGTCAGATATTTGCTAATATGCGGGTATTGGATCATGAGCTCTCACTCGGGTCTGTGCGAACTCGCCGGCGGGGTTGCCAACGATACCATATTGCGCCTCGGTGATGGCAAGGTAGACGGGCTTTGTACCAGGCGCGGTGTAGAAGCCGAGGTTAGCCTCAATAGAATAGGCCGCGACAAGGTTGGTGTCGACATAGACACCGCTGTAGGTTATGAAGTCGCCCACCATGAATGGTGCAAAGAAGTTTGGGTCTGGTCTACCGGCTGCAACCGGAGGGGCATCGAATTGGCTTTTAGGGATGTGTTAGTCTTCAGAAAAGAGATGAGCCAGGAGAGAAGGGGGTATACTAGACGCTCAAGGGGATGTTATTTGTGTTCTTCGGACGGTTCTTAGACGGGCAGAGGAGGTCCTCCGGCTCCGTGGCGGGATTAGTCCTAGGAAGGCACATCGGGAAGCCCTATATCACACAAATTATTACCAACAGGCCCTCCCACATTCCACTATCTCTAGCATGAACATATATACTAACAGTAGCTGCCCTAATTGACGGATTATCCGTATCCGCCGTCATCAACCGCCAGGCATTATATACCCTCCCAAACCTGCCGACTGGATCATTGATAATGACTCGCGTCCCTGTGGGTACCGGGTTCGACGCATCGGGCCAAGTACCACCCACATACATCACTCCTGAAGCGTAGTCGATCGCGGTGATAAAGCCGGTAACAGCGTGGCCAAACTTTTGGGAGATGTAAACCATGCCCGCAATGTAAACGCCATTTTTACGGTTGGCGTTAACCTATCATCCGAGTGTTGGTAATGAGCAACGAGAGAGAACAAGATGGGGTGCTACTGACCGAAACTTCCCATTCTGTGACGCCAAAGCGGGGGAGGTCGAGGGCTCCGGCAGAAGTGAAGAGCTCACTCCAGGAGACAGTGATAGAGGGAAGAGTCACGAGGAGATTGCGAGGAATGATAATATTCATGCCATTGACGCTGAGGGTGCCGCCGGAAAGAATGTCGGAGATATTGTTGACAGTTGCTCTAACACCAAGAACCAAAGTAAGTTTCTGTCCGACTAACTAGTTGTATTTGTGGGAATAAACTACGCTTGCAGTACTCCGATAGTGGAAAAAGGACTTGGGTTGTATGGGTCTGCGGTTACTTGGCCCAGCGTGAGCTGAAGCAGAAAAGTAAAGAAACAGAGGATACTGATTGCGAGTCGCATGTTTGCAATTCTGGAGACAAAACTGCCAGTGTAGGATCTTGGAGATGTGAGGTCTGAGCTGGACTTGGGGCTGTGAAGAGGAGCATCTTATAGATTTTTATCTCCCCATTTCACGATACATGCTAACACGAATTCTGCCTAACGCCACGCGAGACTTTCTTTGAATGATAGAAATATACCCAAAACATTAATTTAGGGTATCTTGGTGTCGGCATAAAGTTTATAATTTGGAACTTAATCTTGAGTGAGACATGGCATCGTTTGCGCATGTCTCTGACTCAAGTCAACCCTTGATGCCTGGCAACATGAACTATAATCGCATCATGCGCTTGGAATAGACCTCGGGTGGCTTGCTTTACAGACATAACAACCAAATACTCTACCAACTATTCTACAGTGTTTACTCGAACGGACGGGGCCTTGCAATGGGGGTGTTTCCCCAAACATTCTACGATTACATACTGCAAGACATCACCAGCCCCCATTGGGAGCCAAAGATGGAAATAGTTTTAAACATCGGACGGCAGAAATATCTTTCAGTATCGAATAATTTCCACCAATGTGGAGCGGATGTTAGTTGATCGGATCAATTAACTAATCCTTTCAATATTTCAGGATCATCGATGGGCAGTACTACTATTGTCACGAGATATAAGTGTTAATCAGCTCAAATAATTCTAAAAAACTAACTCAGTATTGGTACAACTACAGTCTCGCTCTACAATAGATCCACTTATCACAGATCCACCTCAGTCCCACTGCACAAAAGAAAACTACCGCATCACCTCCAAAGACCAGCGATACCCCTTTTACTTCAAGTCACCGCTCAATAAACCCTTGAACCCAGAACTACACAACCATCTAAAGTGCAAATACACACCTGAAGATGTCTTGGCACCCAATTCGATGGTAGCACAAACTTCCTAATATGCTCTATTTTCAGCAATCGGAGCGGGGAGATGGGGGGCTTGCATGAGTGGGGTGTCTCAGGCGCAAAGAATTGCAAGTGATCATCTGCCAAAGGAAGGGAAGGTGATGATGGTTCGGAATCCGAGTGTTGGACAGGGTTTCCCGGCGAGGTTGAGTTGAGGGAAGGTGGTTGTGAGTGAGAGGGTATGATTCACCCGCTTGGACCCAGGGGGTAGTAGCTTCATACATTACATATCGAGAAGGAGCCAAGAATTTCGACATGAATTATTGTAGGTACATGTACCTACATGTACGTACCTAGCGAGGGGCCTTAAAATTCGGTATATAGGTAAACCACATATACCAGACATATATGGAAGGAATGGGGTCTAGTCGCTACTTTAGCAAAGTGGGGGGGACTGCTAAGAATTAGTAGGCCTCACGGTAAAGTGGGTTAGGTTGTGGATGTACCGGCTTGAGCCGAGGTGCCAAGGGACTGGCTGGATAAAGAGTCGATACGAACTTCTTCAGGACCCAGTACAAGCAGGGTAGTACCCGGCTAGCAGTACCCACGTTCAACATCAGTCTCGTAGCACAGGACTCGGTTCGAGATAGGAGTTGTGATGTCCGTGGAGGGCGGGCTCAAGACTCGGGCGGTGGATAGGAGGTATGTAGGTCCAGTCTACTAGTACAAGGCAGTTATTAGTAGGCCGGGCATATTTACTAGGCTAGCCTACTAACCTAGATCGCTGTTCATTCTCTGTAGGTGCAGTCCAGGCACAGTCCTGCAAGGCCCGCAAAGTTTGCTAGAGAGTCCTTACCTATCTCTACGGTGGGCCTAGACTACTGGAGCTACAACCACCTATTGAGAGTACAAGGCCCGGCCCGTGTAATACTACCTACTCTACTATAAACTACTCGCTTCGGATCCCGGCTTAACTCTATTTCTGTACCCAGCTCGTTACACGAGATTTGCACTATATGTCTTGTCTTGTGCAACTAGATTAGACGACTTCTACCGCTATGGCGGGAGTGCTCGGCGCCCTGGGATTATATTATATTAATCTACGTGATATTTACTTGGGTGGGACGAGCTCTCGGTAGATAGCCGAGATTTGGGATGTTGGGGCGCGGGCATGGGTATGGGTAAGAAGGGCAAGGGGAAGGGCACGGTGTCTGGACTCTGGATGGTCATGTTCATATGTTTTCATACTGTGGCGACTTCTTAGTAGATTGCATTTATGGGCTTTGTCAAGAGTTTGAGATTTCGTGTGAATGAAAGAGTCACAGAATCAACTAATGGAGCTCTGTATCTATCTGTACTCTTGATCTTGAATTAATAGCCAACGATATACAACCAGATCTTTAGATATCATCTCGAAACCGACCGAGACAGTGCTAGTTAAGCCTCTGTCTTCATGAGCTGTCTCAAACACATATCGATCCGCAACTGACTCAGGTACCGTACCTCCCAGATCCCTCTAACTCGACTCGGTCACAGTTCCCATCCACCCCCACTATCACCTCCCCTCCACTGTAACATCATACATATGCACATCAACATACACAACTACATGTACCTCCCCAAGTTACAACCACCCTGATCAGCGCTTCCGCTAAAGCCTGTAAAGCCTATTATTCCCAGGGGATGGCCGGTGACCGGCCGGCTAAACAAGCAACTACAATAACTCGTGAGCTAGATATGTAGGGCAACTTAACTAGCTACATATAGCTGGGTATATAGATGCTTCTCACACACACATATATGATATATACCGCTCTATTAAGATGGAACCTTGTCCCTAGATATTTTGTAGTATACTGGCTCTGGGTATACTTGAGATAGGACTAGGTTTCTATACTAGGCGGAACTCACGACCGGAGCTGTGGCGGGGGGGGAAGGTACATACACTGCTTGCTTGGGGGTATCGAGTTCCCCACAGACGCACTCGATGGATTAAACCGCTCCGAATCGAATGATAATGCATGATTCCCAACCCCACCCATCTGGCCCCTTAAGCTTCCTCCTCTCAAAAAAAATCGAAAATTTATTTTACTATAAAAAAAGGTACAAAAGGTACTGCAGCGACTTATTCATCACTACCCCCCCCCACCCCCTGGTTTGAGCCCAGGACTTTTTGTTGTTATCCTGAGACCCAAACACTCGGTGTCTAACCTGACGAGCAGTCTAACCACTAGACCACTCGCCTATGGTGGGGGTTGCGTGGGAAGTGATACTTGTGCTTGGCGGTGTGCCAAGATGAAGTGGAATCCCTAACCCTTTGATGCCAATGCTCACTTGCAGCCATCTGAGCTGGGCTTTGGGAAAGAAGGGGGGGGGGGGGGGTACATGTATGCACCGGGGAGAAGGTTTGGGGGGGGGGGGGGGTTAATTGAGCAGGCTAGGTTATTAGGAAATATGGGTGTTGATATGAGACTTGCAATTGGGGGGAGCACAATATTGGCTGAATTGAATATTAATTCTACGAGGTCTAGATCAAATTCTTCATAATCCACATACCTACATCCCATGGACCTATGTCTCTATTACTCTTAGCAGTGGTTCAGTGGTGTCAATGATTTAAATCCCGTTTCCAGTTTCGGCTTGGTTGCAAGTGGGGTTACTTATAATAATGCATTAGATATCGCCCGCTACCACTCCTCATGCTAAAGATAATACATGAATATAAATGTTCATCAGGTCATAAAAAAGAACAGTAAAAAAGGACCAACACCCCTAAACGCCCCCCAAAAGATGACATCTAGAAATAAACGAACAAGAAGAGGGAGAAAGAAAAAAAAAGGAGGAAGGAACAATTCTTAAGCAGCCAATAGAGTAGTAGTAGTACAGGAACATTAGTACTAGCTATCTATCTCCAAAATAGGGAGGGGGTCTGGGCCAACGAGTTGTCGAGTTATTCCTTAACGTAGTTGACCTGCAGTGATAAATGCTATGCTGTTATGTCGGACTCTCACAAAGGCGTTGGATATCCGCGAAGAGAACAAAGCGGCACATCTCTACCCCTTCAGCAGTTGCTCCAGTACCACCTCTTTCTCCCTCGCCAGATACTGCTGCGCCAAATCCTACCCACTGCAATTAGCACCACCAGTCCATGACCTGCATACCTCCACATAACCAAGAAAGGAAAAAGAATGAGGAGTATGAGAAAAAAAAAATCCTACTAACCAGCACCTCCCCCGCAGCCCTCATCTCCCCAACCGCACGATCATAAATGCCCATGATCTGCGCAATCTCACCGCCCGTATCAACCTCTTCGTCTGCCGGCAGCCGCCCGCTGAGCGCCTTGATGCGCCCCAGCGCGTGCAGCGCCGACAGCGACTGCCGCAGCGACTCCTTCAAGAGTTCTTCCGGATCCGGCCACGACGGAGGGATGTTGGCTGAACGAGGCGTAGTCGCTGTGGAAGACTGCCCGTAGCTGTCGGCGTCGTTCTGACCACGGTGGAGCGAGAGCAGCGTCTGAGGTGTGTGTTGAGCATGCGTTAGTGAAATTTAATAATATATTAATGTATCTATGCATAATCCTTTTTTGTTGGTTGTAATTTTTTTTATTTTTTTTACTCACCATGGCCTGCGAAATCTTGCCTAACCCCTCATCGTCTGAGTCTTGCCTCATGACCCCACCACCACCACCTCCTCCCCCTCCTCCACCACCACTACTCACGGCATTGCCCAGGTTACGGCTCGCAGCCTCCACGTCCCTGGACCACAGCGACGTGTGTCGATGACCCTCGGTCTCCATCTCGTACATGCTTCCTGGGGACATTGTCAGCCCCACGCTCATGACCGTCGAGCTACTCTGTCGGCGGTGCCGTAGCGACGACGTGGGCTTGAACGGGCTCTGTGGGGGATCGCGGGGCGACGTTGGGTATGGGATTGAGCGGCGGCCTCCCACTCCTATTCCTGATCCCGATCCTGCTCCTGCTGCCACTGCTCCTGGTCGAGGTGTTGTTGAGAGTGGCGGTGGCACGTGTTCCATGGGGATTTGCGGAAGAAAATTTCTTCTCTTTCTTTCTTTCTTTCTTTTTCACGATCTGGATTTGTGGTGGTGGCGGCGGTGGTGGTGGTTTGTAGGTGAGAAAAAGGGGGGGTGTGTGGGACGAGGAGCTGCTAGGTAGGGTATGTAGGTGATTAGATCATGTAGGTAGGAGAGGTAAAGTAAAGTAGAGCACCCTGGGGTCCCCCCATCGTGAGGTTTTGGGAAACTGCACGCGATTGGTTCGAGGGGTTGATGATCTACATGCCATGCACTAGGGAACCCTAACCCAGTTGGCTGCGGATATCGAAAGAGATAACAGAACTCTTGATGGTAGAGGTACCTATTTTGATTATTGGTCACTATGTGAAAGTGTCTTTACATGTATGAACGATTTATCTAGGCGTGTTGTAGAATTCTGGCTCGAATAGGCTCGAGGGCTACCTTCACTCAACTACAACATACAGATTCTGGTAGAATTAACGCGAAAGTGGGTTTTCCGTGACCAGATAGTCAGGACGTCCCATTGGCCCTTAAAGGAGTTTTTGCAGTGAGCACGGACCAAGAAACCCACTCTTCTAGTTCTAACTTTCGCAATAATTCTACCGGATACTGTACATGTAGTCTAGGCTACTAGCTGCATGTAGCTAGCTAGGGAATTATTAGACTCCTTGCGGAATAGGAAAGGCTCTCACATATTTACGAACAGCGTGATTGGAGGATGAACTTATTGTTTGCTGAGCAGAGCAAGATCTAGCCACATATGTACCATATATTTACTTGAGCTTAGTCAAGTACTTTATATCCTTAGAGACTCTTACACACATTAAACAGAAGCCCAAGTATTTTAGACAGGAACTGATCATACGCTCCTGCATGTACTTATTGAACAGCAGATGAGCCTCTGACCAAAGCACTCGCTAAATCTCCCTTTCCAAAGAAAAAATATAAAGTACACTAGGGGGCTTTGTAGAATGGAATTAAGCCAATAGTATATATCTCAAGTGAACAATTTAACGTTTTCGAGTCGACCAGTATAGCCATATGTACCCATATATAAGATAACAGTGGTCCCCCGAGAAACTAGCGGAACACAGATATGGTGCCTACATGTAAATAGCATGTACTACTTACCTTAGGATATTACAATAGAGCGTATTTGCCAACCGTCAATTTCAAGAATTTACAAATTGTGGGGCTCCGAAATGGCAACCGGGGCTGTTAATTTTGAATTTCGGTGGGGCGGCGTGCTGTGAGATATACCAGGAGGATCACAAGTACCCAGTTTTGTTACTACCGAAGCTAGTATCATGGGTATGAATTTTCAGTTCCAACAGCATACTTCACAGGTAGTGTGATGGGTTGTCTGGTTTTCGGGGTTTATTCTGTCATACCGTTAACCAGATCGATTTTGGCCACTGCGGGGAACTGTCAATTTTGCCTCCCGGAACTGTCAAGTTTGAAGTGTCAATAGTTGAAATTGACGGTTGGCAAATACGCTCTAATATAATGAAATATAGTATACGTACAAATATGTACAAGTATAATATGTGGCACGCACATTAATACATACATGTATTCGGTAACGTCATCGCACGTATATCAACTCACATGCAAAATTAATTATCATAATCCCAAAGATAGTAGGGGCATGTACCACGTAACATAAGCCTTCTGGATCGAATAGCATCTGCAGTTGAGACGTCGACCTGATCTACGGATCTGCTGCTATGTGTCAGAAGATGGTAAATCCATGGCCATGGCTCCGGTGTCGAGACATCAATCTCAATTGATCAAGGCTGCCCACATGCATCCGATGGTTGGTTTTGCCGTCAGTGTGCAGCGCGGAAAACCGGGGAAAGTTCCAAAGCACGCAAAAAGTTGCCCTAGGACCGCGGAGGGTTAGGGTTAGGGTTATCGTTTATCTTGGGCCCTGCATGGTGATATCGATATATAGAGTATACTCGTCTATTCATAGCGTTTCCGAACACGACCAATATTGCATGACATACAAAAAGGTGGATTTGGCGCTTTTTTATATGGTATGCAATAGCAGTCGTGTCCGGAAACGCCAAAAAACTACGAGTAGTGCCATGCATGTCCTGCAGGTTTAGCGAAGACTTGCAGTTGTAATTAGGGCGCGAGTTGTTGGTAGGAAATGCGGGTACATGTAGTGAGCACTGTTCCTTTTCTTGTTCGCGCGGGTACCAGTCTAGTTCTACTCCAAAGTAGTGCTTATATCAGTACCTAAATGACAATTCAAAATTCGTACTCGGGTGATATATCTTTACTATAGGCGCGGATCAACTAGCCAACCCACTAATCGACGATTTGATATGCAATTTAAACCGGCCCGGGCTGCTAAATTAAATTAAAACCAGAGGCATTTAAATGAACACAGGGCTAGAGGCGAGTTACCACACAAAGGATTGATCTCCAACTTCTTACATTTCAAGTGTATACTACCTAGTACGCGCACCGAGAAGTATATAGACATCTGGTAGGCTAAGAAGCTCACTTCACGAAATAGGCCTATCAAAGCCTGTGGTAGGCCGTATAATAACAATATTTAACCGCAAGTTTGGGACTACGAAAAGTGTAAATAGTTGAGCCTAAGGCTAGAGTGCACGATTGTCTGCTGTTCCAATTCTTGATAATTATATGACCTAGCTAGATATATATAAGCCATATCACTGTAGCTGCTAGGCTTGATGCTATATATAAATGGAGACTTGGCCGGGCCTATTCTGATCGGAATTTGATTGGGCGAGTTTAGCGGTAACTGCAGCTTAGCTTGAAATGGAAAATGAATTGTGAAACTGAAGACAAACTGAGATTAGCCTGACGAACATCTTCGCTAATAGTTAATCGGGATTGGAGCACCACTCATGGCCAGCTCATAATTTGGCTTTAGCTAACAAGTAAACGTCTAGTTGGGCTGAACTTTGAGTGCTTACATGTGTCTATCTCGGCCTCGAGAGTAGGGGAACTCCATGGAATTTATTGATCTTTGTTTCTATTTGACCACCTTGATTCGTGCTCCTATATGTAATGATAATCTTCTCAATATGATAGGCTTGTGTACCAGTATCTAGGAAATATAATACAATTTAGCCGTAGAAATATCGACAAACTGTACTGGTGAGTGCGCATCGTCGTATACATGCACATGCGTACCTTATGTACGTGTGTATTCTTCGCATGCACCTCCTTTATCTCTTCTAACACTAGCTAGGGCAAACCCCCACATATTTATCATGTCATTGACTCTGGGTATGAAACAGCTAGTTATCACAAACTTGCACTTACAGCTCAAGCTCAGATCATGTGAACCATACATGTGCAAATTTCTGCGGGAATCTATGTTTGATTGGCGTGCCTCGATCTCGTTATGCACACCCATAAGATTAAGCTCCGACCGTAGCTGACACGCAGTCGGGAGAGCCGATAGATTGACAAGTTATAATTATTGTTGTTCGAGGTTTGGACGAACCTGCTTCTATACATCGGCTTTCGATTGATCATACTAGTATGTTCATCTGTGAAGTTTTGAAAGGTAAATTAACAAAGTCGATGATCTGCTCAATCCCAGTTAGCCACTAGCACTGCTCTTAAGATCTAGGGCAACGCTACAGGAGGTCTCCGTACCTAATTTATGAATCATTTGGGATGAAGCCTATCCCCAATAATGCACCATTGCGCGTGCCTACGTTGGAGTCCACTGTTCTCTCAACAATATGCAGTATGACACAAGGCAACTACATGTACCTCCCGGTCTAACAGGGCAACATCTTACTTTGGTCGGTACATAGGGCTGGAGGTTGTTCTAGCCGGATGAGTTCAAGGCAACACTAGTAACCGTAATAAGGCATGGATTTTTATATTGCTGGCAGATCAGCCTTCTGAAGATACAAATAGACCAATAGGATAGATTAATGGCCTCTTCAGCTGTCTCAAACCTAGAGGTACGTTTTAGGCTCCTTGCTACAAATACCACTGCATTCCCATCAATATTTTCTAAAATTCCATCGATGCTTTGGCAGCTCAGGGCATATATCTCCCAATCTCTATTCCTCACCAACGTCTTTCCTATAATATCGAGGTCCAATGCTACTTTCATCTTTCGCATTCCGATTTCTGATAGTCCTCATTCTGTACTATAGATTTTCACTGGTTCATGACAAGAGAAAGTCAAGTCATGGGAGGAATTCAGGGAGCAATGGCTCCACCTATGCCGGAGCAATCCAACAGGATCATGTCGAGATAGAGGAAGATTGTCTACCTTGTTCCGTGTGAGGGTTGCCTAGGGCAATAACTCGTGCACCAATGACTAAGCAAGACGACACCAACTCGACACTATGCCAAATTAAACGACGTTACTCACGACCGATATCGTCAGGTTGAGACAAGAACAGATCATCCAAAGAACCAAAAGGATACGTGGAGCTACCCTGTATAATCTCTCGAGTTCTTTCTGGTAGCTTCTAACAGAATTATCGACAAGCTAGCCACACGGTGTACATTCGATGATTAACGTCATTTATAATTATCTAGAGCTAGCCATGTCATTTGTCTAGCTCCTATATATCCGGGCTAAGAGTTTCAAGGAGGCAGAAATGTTTGGCCAGGTCCAACTTTATAGCGTATGTCTCCCCATTATTCACTCGATCACATAATCATAACTTAAAAGAGACGCTTGGTTTTTTTAATGACATATATATCAGTCATATAGTAGCCTAGGGAATTGACAATACAAGTCACACATAGCTTACAACCGACCAGAGTCAACCCCGCAGACAATAGACCAGTAGCCAATCCAATACAAATGAAGGGTTTCGAAAAGAGAGACAATCAGAAACCGCTACAAACGCTCATAAATTTACTCATACAAGGCTTTCTGTCAAAGGAAGCTGTGGATACATGGGTCCATTGGAGCAGGAAAGTGTTGAAGACTCATGAACTTCCTTAAGTCTACATACAGAAACGACGGGGGTGTGTATTGA